TGGGAATCAGCATTTCCCTGACACTAGAGGCCTTGGATCCACCCTCTGGAGATTGCTGTCATTCCCATTTCCTGCCAAACCTTTGGCATTTCCACCTCCCTTTCCAGCCCCAGCATTTAGAGGAAAACACCAAATCCTGATTTTCCTGCCCTGGCTGTGCACCCAAGGTGGGAATGGTGATTTGTGCCCATCCTGACGTGGCTTTCCCTGCTCCCCCAGGTATGAGGATCCTGGTCACGCTGCTGCTGGACACTCTGCCTATGTTAGGCAACGTCCTCCTCCTCTGCTTCTTCGTCTTCTTCATCTTTGGCATTGTTGGGGTCCAGCTCTGGGCAGGGCTGCTGAGGAACAGGTGCTTCCTAGACAGGAATTTTGCCATGTAAGTACAGCAAAAGCAAAAATTTTCCACTTTTTTTTCCCCCCCCTTTTTTCCTCCACATTTCTCTCCCTTTTTTCTTCCTTTTCCAGCAGGGGATTTTTTTCTGTCCCCTGCTGGAAAAATCCCAGTGCTCAGCAGGGTCCTTTTTGCCTGGGGAAAAAATCCCATTTGTCAGCAACTTCCTGAGGGTTTTGTGCATTCCTGCTGCACCTGAAGGAGGAGGATGGGAGAGGGCTGGATTAGCCCTGCCTGAGATCCCTGTGTGCCTCTGGGAGGATGCAGAACAAACTCCCAGCTCTCCAAACACTTCAGGTCACCCAGCACACCCCAACCCCTGGCAGAGGCTGGAGATTTGGAGATGCAGCTGAAACCCAGAGATAAATCCTTGTCAGGGATTTAAGATAAGAAACTGGATGTGAGAAGCATTAAAATCATTTGGACACAGCTCAGAGCGTGGGACAGGCACCAGGATGGGCAGGACCTGAATCATTAAGGCTGAAAACACCTCCAGGATCATCAAACCCGACTTGAAAGAGGCAAATTTTCATTTGGGATTTTTCAGGCTGGGCATTTGTGTGGAGCAGCCCCTTTGATAATAAACCTTCATTGCCCTGCTGAGCCTCACCTGGGACCTGCCCAAGGCCCAGCTGATCAATTTAAGCCCAGCCCAGGCTCTTAGGCCTGGTTTGGGCTGTGCTGCTGGTGTTTGTCTTTGCTCCTGAGCTTTCTGGATAAATCCTGGATTTGCCTCATCCTTTGGACCCTGCTGCCAGCCCTGGGCTCTTCCATCTGGGTTCAGAGTGGGATTGAGGAGGTTCTGATGGAGCTGGGATGCGTTTGGAGCATCCCAGTCTTTGGAGCATCCCTTACTGCCCCCTTGGGCTGGGGCTGTCGTGCCCTCAACAGTTCCAGCTGAGGACACACCTGGATGAAAACCAAGCACAGCCAGCATAGGAAAGAGGGATTTTCCTGGAAAAAAAATCCTCCCAAAGGCTCCTGTCAGAGATGTCAGCAGCTCAGAGGTGAGGAAATGCCCCAGCCCAGCTCTCAGGGCAGCTCTAACTCGGCGAGAGGAGATGGAGCCTGTAATTACATCGCTGGGTAATCATCGGCTGCCTGCGCTCGGATTGACTGCGAGACAGGCAGGGATCATCCCTCAGGTCCCGCTCCTGCCTCTCACTGCCACTCCCGGGGCTCCCTCAGCCTCTCCTGTCCTCTGCACCAGCTCTGGTGGCTTTTATTCCCCCCAGCAGGGTGGAAAACCCTTCACCTGCCATGGGTGTGCTTCCACTCCAAACCCTCTCCTGCACCCCCAGACTCAATTTCCCGCTCCCCAAACCCCTCCAGGCTCAGCTGGACCCCGGAGCTGCCATTCCCAAGCCCAAATTGAGCAGTTCCAGCCCTGCTTGGGTGGCCCCGTTGCTGTAATTAACTGCAGCGAGCCCCTCTCAGCTCTCTCCGAGTCGGGTTTTGAAACGCTCGCTGATTTTCTGGTGATTTTCTGCGAAGTGGAGCTTTCAAGATGAACCACAGGGGAAGCGTTCTCTAAGCACAGACATTAAGCAGCAGTTATGTAATGGCCATTAGCAGCATCAAAGGCCTCGCTGGATTTTCTTATCGGGGCTTGCTCCTTGTCAGGAGAGGTTTTGGGATGAGCTGTGTCTGATGGGGTTTGTCTGGGATCGCCTCCTTCCCCCTGGGATGGGTTCAGCTGTTGGGGTCTGGTTGATTGTGCTGCATTTTAAAGGAATTTGGGGAAATGGGGGTGTCCATAGGGCAGGAAAATTCCAGTTTGTAGCTCAGTGTCAGTGGGAGAAATGTGGAGTTTTCTGGTATTATTAATTTTGCATTCATTTCAAATTAATGCAAAATGTTCCAGTCCCTGCATTTCCAGCTGTCCCAAGTTTCTTGGAGTTCATTGTGGAAGTTTTAGGGTGGCAGGATTTTCTCATCAGGGCTTGCTCCTTGCCAGAGAAGGTTTTGGGATGAGCTGTGTTTGAAGGGCTTTGGCTGGGATCCCCTCCTTTCCTCTGGGATGGGTTCTGCCACCCCCCAGCTCTTGGGGTTTGGTTTAGTGTGATGGAAGGTGCTGCATTCCAAAGGAATTTGGGGAAATGGGGGTGCCAATGGGGCAGGAATAGTCCAGCTTCCAGCTCAGTGTCAGCAGGACAAAAATGTGGGATTTTCTGATACCTCCACCCTGAGTGTTGCTGCTGGGTTGGGCTTTCTGCATTAATTTTAAATTTAGAGAAACCCAGCAACGTTCCAGTCCCTGCATTTCTAGCTATCCCTATTTCTTGGAGCTCGGTGGGGAAGTTTTAGGGACTCCAGATGGAATTATTCCCATTTTTTTAAAATAATTTCTGACTCATTCTCTCAACCCAGGCGTCAGGGCACGGTTCCCCCCTGCAGTGGCTGTTAACACACCAGCAGCAAATTGTAGAGGAGAAAAGGGCATGGAATGACCTGGAAAACACTTCAGGGCTCCATCCTCCTGCTGTTGGGCAGATCATGGAATCCTGGAATGGGTTGGCTTGGAAAGGACCTTAAAGATTCTCATCCACCCCTGACCATGGTCAGGGACACCCTCCCCTACCCCAGGCTGCTCCAGCCCAGCCTCAGACACATCCAGGGGTGGGAAATCCTCAATTCCTCAGGGCACAGAGGTTTCCCAGCCCTTGGGAGCCTGGGAGGGGCTGGGGCTGAGATCCTGCCTCGGATTTCCTCCAGGGAAAACCTGAATTATTGGAGGGTCTCCCCTTGGTGCTGCTGCCAAACCCTCCCAGCTGAAACCAAACCTGCTTTAAACAGAGGATCTGGACAAAATCCAGGGGCCAGCAAGGCAGGGTGCTAACCCCAAATTTTCAGGAAGAAAGGAGGTGTAAGTGAGCTCCCAAAGAGCTGCTTCAAATCCAGCTTTGCCCTGCTGTGTTCTGCCCTGCAGCTTCCCGAGCCTTCAGCTCTTCCAGAGGCATCAGATGGAAGGATTGACTTTGATTTTTGCCATCATTCTTCTTTCCCCATGGAAACCTTTTCTTTTCAATCCCCCTTGAAAGTTGGCAGCTCCGAGTAAAGCAACTATTTTTGTGTCGAGCGCATTGTGAGAGAAAATTTGGGGACTTTTTGGAGGTGCACTGGGAATTTCTGCTTTTCTCTCTCTGTCTTTCAGAGCTGTGCTGTTACAGGGCTGGAATGAGGTTATTTAAGGATTTTTAGTGGGGGTTCTGAAGGAATTGCTGGGTTGTTGCAGCAGTGGGTTGGAAGTGGGGTTCTTTTTGTTGGGACATGGGAGAATCTCTCCCTCCACACCCAAAATGATCCTACAAAAGCTGGGATTGCATGGACCAGCAGCTCCAGGCGGGGCTGTGAGTGATGCCAGGAGATCCTGGCATTGGAGCTGCAGGAGAAATCCCCCAAGGACCCTTTGGTGGGAAGGAGGAAGGTTTGGTGTGCTGGGTGGGGAGGACAAGCAGAGCCAGCAGCCCCTTGGGACATCTCCAGGATGGTTTTCTCCCCCTCGGGCTCCTTCCCACCCTCCTGAGCTGCTCCCGGTGGAAATAAAGGAATTGGGTCAGGCCCTGCCCCTCTCCTGGGGCTGCCCCTGTGTGCTGGGATGCAGAGCAGCATTTCCAGGCTGGAGCCTTTCAAGGAACTCAGTGGCTCGGAAGCAGGGGAGGGGAGGGAGCTGTGGAGGGTTTTGTGTTTCTCTGCTGCCTCGGGACACTGGTGGTGGGAGTTTTCAGCCTTCAGCTCCTCAAGCAGGCTCAGGAATTTGTCTGGAAGGTGTTTAATTGCTGGTGGTGGCATTGCTGAGCAGGGAGAGCAGGGAATTTGTGGGATCTCAGCAGCTCAGTCCTGAGGTGCCACCGAGACCACCCTTGGGGGGCTCGGGAGTCCTGGAATGTTCCAGAAGTGTCTGGTGGCTGCACTTTGATCCTACACAGGAGACGACACCTGTGTGAGGACAGGAGGGTTTCACCGGGGTGAATGGTGAAGGGATTGGTTAATTAGAGGGTGAGACACAGGGTTTAGGATTTCTGTACAGGGGGGTTTAGAGAAGTAAGATGGAGGAATTGGGGCGTGTCCTGTCCTTCTTCTTCTTCTTCTTCTCCTCCATCTTCTGTGGTGATGGTGGCACTTTGGGATTGGTCATTACTGAAAGTGCACCGGGCAATAAGAATAAAAAGGATTGGGGAAAAAATGATAAATATTGTACACGTAACCATGGGTATAAAGATAGGTGACTGTACGGAGGGCAGCACAGTGTGCTCATGGCTGGCTGCTGAGCAGAGCTCTGTCGGGCCGAAAGAAAATCTTTTAGATAAACAATTAATAAACACAGAGACGGAAAGAAGAACTGAAGCCTCTTCTCGTCCTTCGATACGCGGGCTGCCCCAAGGCCACCCCGGGCCTTTCCAGGTCCTCCAAACAGCCGAAAACCGGACAGGAATTCACCCTGAGTGCTGAGCTCCTGCACCTCCTCCCTCTGCTCCCCCAGCTGTGCTCTGCTGTGTTCCAGTGATTGGGATTTGTGCATGGGATGGATGGGCTGGGAAATCTTTCCCTGGGGGAGGCTGGAGCAGAGGATAACCCAGGAGTGGGAGGAAAATGGATTTTCCTGCCCCTCTGTTGTGCTTTCTGGACATGGACATGGCGAGGGACAGAGAAAGGGAAATCCAGATGTGCACGGAGCAGGGGTGGGAAAAGCTGGGAAATCCTCTCTGGTGGGATAACAGATCCATCCTGGGGCTTGGCTCCTCCTGTCTTTCCCCCAGAGCTCTGCTGATTAGTGAGTTCATTAGCATTAATGAGTGATTTGTCTCTACCTGTTGGCAAGGAACAGGGAAGGCAGGAAGAAGTGGAAGGTCCTGGCAGAACTCATCCATTTACTTGGGAGATATTTGGGATTCCCTCATTCTGCAGCATTTTTGTTTCTCATTCTTCTCTCCTTTCCTTCTTTCCATTTTTTGGTTTTGCCAGGAAAAAAAAAAGGGGGAGAAAGGTTTTAAGAAAGGTCTGAAATTTGCAGTGTTTGCTGCCAGTTGGGGCTCCTTCCTCCCTCACTGGTGGTGCTGGAGCTTCCCACAGGAGTGGCTCCTTCCCAATGGGAAGAACAGGGAAAGGCTGGGTAGAAAGAGCCCTTCAGGTGACTGATTTTGTCATAGGGACAACTTTTAATTTTGGGGACAGCTGCAAAAGTGAGGAGAGCAGAGGAAAGGGAGGATAAAATCCTTCAGAACCGAGCCAGGCTGCGCCCAGCCCTCCCAGCAGAGCTGGGCTTTGTTCTCCTGCTCAGATTTTCCTCCCCCAGCCACCAAACTGCTCCAGATTCATGCCCAAATCTTCTCTGTGCAGCTCCTGAGACCCCAGCCCGGGGTCTTCATCCCAAAACTTCCCAAATGGAGACTCCTGGGATGCAAGAGCCTCTCCAGTTCTGGATGCCTCATTCCAATGGCATGGGGACTGATCCTGTAGTTTTGAGAGCTAAAGTCACTTCTCAGGTGTCTCCTCTCTGCTTCTTCTCCCAGATTCTCCAGCTCTTCCCAGTTTTCCTGCATCTTGGTGTGTTTTAATCCTCTGTTTAATCCTCCCCGTGTGTGGCACTGCTGGGTGGTGTCTGATGTTCTCCCAAACGCGGCTGCTGCAGCTCCTGGCCCGTTCTCCAGCCTGTTTCATATGGAAATTTCCTCCCAGGGAAGCAGCTGGTGGGAGGGCAAGGAAAAGGCTCGGGGAGGAAAAACATCTTGCAGGTTTTTGTTGGATCCCAAGCCCAGAAACAGCGCAGGTGATGTCACAGTTTAGTCTGGAGCTGCGGGGTGTGTGAGGAGGGGCTGCTGAGCACAAAGAATTCCCAATCCCCAGGACGTGCTCCTCTTCCCTCTCCCATTCCTGAAGCTGCTGAACCCTCCACACCCACCTCGGGTAATTGGATCATGGAAGAGACCCAAATTCCCCCGGGAAGCGGCTGAGGGCTGGTTTCCCTCAGCTCTGCCCTGCAGCAATTGTTCTCTCCTTAAAGTGCAGCCGCAGAGCAATTCCTGCTTGGCTCCAGGGTTTTGGGGAGCAATTCCAAGCAATTGTCTGGAATAACACTTGTTAAAGCCAAATCTCTTCACCAGATAGGGGCGTTCAGAGAGAGATAAAAATAGAGCTGTCCTGGCTGGAAGAATTACCTGGTTATCTTCTGCCCACATCTTTTATAATGTGTGTGCTGCCTCTCCCTTATCTCGGGGTGATTATGGAGCAGCTGAGATCTTTGGAGCTGGGAAAACACTGGAGAAAGTTGGCTCTGGAGCAATGCAGCCCTGAGTGCTGCAGGCTCTCACCAGCACTGAGCACACAGCCCACAAAGTGCCAGATCTGGGGCACAGCTCGGGGAAAAGCAGCTCCTGCCCTGCTGCAGGTCCAGGCTGGGACAGAGCCATCGGCTCTATCCAAACCAGTTCCATCAGAAATGCAGCAAGCACGTGGTTTTCCCATTAATTTGGGCTCTTCCTTTCTTTATGGAGGTACAGAGGGAGTGGGAGATGGCCTCTGGATGGGTCTCTTCTTGTGGGAGCTCAGCCCCTCATCAGATTCCTCCTGAGGGATGCATTTTTTGGGAAGCTGCTCTGCCACCCAAATAAGCACCTTCAAATCCTTACAGAGAGCCCAAAAGCTCCCTGGATTTTGGGGGAGAACCTGATCTGCTGGGATTTTCTCTCCATCCCTCTCATTTCATGTTTTTTCCTGCTTTGTGTGCTTGGGGAAACTCAGACTGGTCTTTGCTGGGAGATCAGCAGGGTCTGATCAAATCAAAAGGATTTGATTTTAGGGGCTGGGATTCTGACAGGGATTTCTGAAGGGTGAAGGGACAGCAGCCAGCACTTTGTCCTGCTGCTAAAATCAGGGATGAACTGTCAGCAATGATGAGAGATGGGGACACTTACTTGGTGATCAGAATCCCATTTTATTGTGGGATACAAAGCTTATATACTATTTAAGAGACACTAGTAATGTGTACTACAATGATTAGGTTAAAATCACATCCACAAACTTATGGATATAACAACATCTCTTGCTTGCAGGGTTTAATGGGATTTTATTTTTCCTGTAAACCTGTTTGATTGTGAGAGGAATTGCAGATTTGTCTTACAAACAAGCTGTGGTTCTGCTGGTAGATAAAACCAGCACTGGGAGAGAAAAGAAACAAGGGGAAGGATTCCACTGATTGATGAATGGAAAATATATTTGCTTTGACAAATAAACTTTAGTTTTGCTGATAAACAAAAATAGACATTGAAAGATGAAAGAAACAATGGGGAAGAAAAATCCCTAAATTCCATAAGAATTAAAAATTAAAAGGGAGGGTTATACATTAGAGGGAAATATTTGGGAAATCTTTGGTGTCAGGTGTACTGGGGAGTCTGAACTTCTCAAGTATCTCAGAAATGGGCAAAGAGAGAAGGGAAATGTGGCTGGAAATTGGGATAAAAAGGAGGCTGCATCCTCCAAAAATTCCATAGACCCCAGGGGATGCCCCATGGCCTCTCCTTTTATTTGAATAAAGTAAAAGGACTCCTGTCTCCTTTTTGGACATAAACCTCTGATGTTTGTGGATTAATTTTCCTGACCATTGAATCTTCTTGCAATCCAGGTCTAATTTTCAAAGCTCCCTTTGCTTTTGCCAAGGCACCCTGTTATCAAATCTTTGATGTCAACCAGGCCCCAAATCCAACATCTGTCTTTGTGTCCCCCAACATTCCAACACCCCCCCCTTTCCTTTCCACCAAAAACACTTTTAACGGCCTTAATAATTAATCACGAAGCTTTTTTTTTTTTTTAACCTTCATCCTTTTCTTTCTTTTCCACCTCGTCCAGGACGTACAACCTGACCTTCCTGCACCCCTACTACCGGCCGGACGAGGCGGAGGAGAACCCCTTCATCTGCTCCTCGCACCGGGAGAACGGCATGCAGAGGTGCTCCAACATCCCCAGCAGGAAGGAGTCCAAGGTGGAGTGCACGCTGAGCATGGAGTCCTACAGCCCCAGCCTGGCCAGCCCCGAGCCCAGCAGGAACTCCTGCATCAACTGGAACCAGTACTACAACATCTGCATGGCCGGGGACGTCAACCCCCACAACGGGGCCATCAATTTTGATAATATCGGATATGCCTGGATTGCTATTTTTCAGGTAGGGTGCTCCCAAAAATGGGATTTTTTTTTTTTTATGGTTTTGTTGGGTTTTTTTTGTTGATTTCCCGTTTTTTCCTTGTTTTGGGTTTGTCGTTTTTTGCTCTCGGGAAGGTTTTTTGCATTTTGGTGAATGCAGCGAAGTTGGAGGGAATTTGCTCAGCCCTGAGTGAAACTGGAAATCAAGAAACAGGGAATGAATGAATCAGGCAATAAATGGTGCAGGAGAGCATGTGGAGAGAAGAAACTTTTCTTTTTAAATCATTCGAAAAGAGGGAAAATAACTTCTTGAGGCAGCAGAACTCATGGCAAGTTCCACCTCTGCAGATCAGATAAATCCCAGGGATTTTTGGGAGCAGGGTCTTCGTTGTTGGAGCATCAGGAAACTGAAAGTGCTGTTGAGGTTTTTAAGCAAGATTTAATTTCATGCTAAAATGAAGGAAGCTGGCATGGCTTAGGCTTGGTTTTAAATCCCTGGTGAGCATGGAATGCTGGAAAGGGGAACAATCAGTTCTGGCCAAAATTCCTGAGAGGAAATTCTGCCCGCAGGGAATTTCAATCTCTTTTGAGGCACTTGAGAAAATAGAAAGCGCTTCTCACTGGGACTGGGGGAGATTTTACAGGTGATAAAACTCTTCATAAGGGAAGGATTTTCCACGGATTTTCATGTCCAGAGGCTGTGGTTTCCCAGGGCTGCCCAGCTGGAAGATCCCAGTGTTCTTTCCCATTTTTAATGGGCACTTCCTGGTGTTGCAGCATTTCTTTGGCTCTGGCTGGGTGCCCTGGTTGATTCAGTCCCCCTGAAGTGGAGGTGACATCTGTTCCTAGAGCAGAATTCTCCTTTCAGCTTCGTTAATGAGGAATAATTACTCATCCACAGCTCTGTGTTTCGTTTATGGATTTCCTCCCAGTCCCATGTTATCCATGAAGTTCATCACTTCCAGCTTTCACCTGGGGGTTGCAAAGTGGGGAATGTTGGCTCTGAGCACCTTCCCTGCTCCTCTGGAGCTGCCTTTGGGTCACTGTGCTGGTGTCAGAGGCTCAGAACCAAACCCAGAGGGGTTCAGGCAGATCTGAATCCCAATTTTCCCATTGGTAAAATGCTTTGGGATTAGTGAGGAAGAGAGGAGCTGCTGGCTGGTAGTGAGTGCTGGGCAAAGGGCAGAGGGAATTCTCCTTTTCTTGCTCTTTGGTGGATCTGAGGGATGTTCCCAGGAGATCCCACCTGGTTCCTTTTCATAGGAAAAGGACACAGAGGAGGAGCAGGAGCTTCCTCAGAGGGGTCCTGCTGCCTTTTCCCTTCCTGAGCAATTTTCCAGACTGCAAATCTTCATTCCATCTGATTTCCTCATCCTCAAAAGGCCCAGTTGAATTTCAGGAAGGGCCCCAGCCCCAGGAGAGGTTTCAGCTGGTTCCTTTGGGCAGCACAGTGTCTGGCAGAGGGGGATCTCCTGTCCTCAGATGGTTTTGGCAGCTGCCAGGAGGTCGATGATTTGTTTTATCTCTGCTCAGGCCATCCAAATGCTCCAGAGGATTTCCAGCCAAAAACTCTCCTCATGTGTTTATTCCTGCTGGAAGTCAGGGCTCATTTTTAGGAGCTGGGGATGATTTAATTCCAGGTAAAGAGGCAGCAAAGGTGCTGGCTCAACCTGGACGTGGGAAATCATCAGTGCAGGGGGTGAGGTGCTGAATCCAAACAGTTGCTGGAAGCAGGGAAGGTTCAGCACATAAATCCATGGGATTGTGCTGGGTAGCACAATGAACAGCTGGAGCTGGACAGCACCAGGCCAGCAGTGGGATGAGGGCTCTGAGGAAGCGGTGCAGAGAGCCCAGCTGATGGATTTAGGAACTCTGAGCCTCCCTGGGGATCGGGGTTGAGTTACTGGGGTGAGACAGGGCTGGCTGTGCTGAGCCATTATTCTGCAGGATAATGAACCCAAGCCCTGGCACCATGAGATGGGGAGAGAGCCCTGAGGGCTGGCAGACCTCCAGTGGGAATTGTGGCCAGCTCAGGTGGCTGCTGCACAGAGATCCCTCAGGATTTATCCCAAATGAGCCGGGAACCTTGGGGTGCTCAGCCTGGGAAAGAGGGGCCTGGGGGGACCTTCCAGAGCTGGAAAGGGCCTGGAGTGCCAGGAGAAGGGGGAACAGCTTCCCCTGGCACAGGGCAGGCATGGATGGGGTCAGGGGAAGGAAAGGGAGGGTGGTGAGGCCCTGGCAGAGATGTCTCTGGGATGGTGTTCACTGGGGTCTGAGGATGAGGGAAGAGACAAGGATCTGACTCCGTGTTTCAGAAGGCTTGATTTATTATTTTTTGATATATATTACGTTAGAACTATACTAAAAGAATAGAAGAAAATGTTTCATCAGAAGGCTGGCTAAGAATAGAATAGAAAGGAAAGAATGATAACAAAGATTTGTGGCTCAGCTCTCTGTCTGAACCAGCTGGGCTGTGATTGGCCATTAATTACAAACATCCAACATGGGCCAATCAAAGATCTACCTGTTGCATTCTACAGCAGATAACCATTGTTTACATTTTGTTCTTGAGGTTTCTCAGCTTTTCAGGAGGAAAAAATCCCAAGGAAAGGATGTTTTATAAAAGTTGTCTGCGACAGGTCTCATCCCTGGGAGGGGTCCCTGCCCACAGCAGGGGCAGTGGGACTGGATGGGCTTTAAGGTCCCTTCCAACCCAGCCCATTCCAGGATTCCATGGTCTGGTGTGGTTTAGGAGCTGTCAGAAGGGAGGAGGATGAAATGAGCCCCCAGGAGGAACTTTACAAGTGCAGGAAGTGCCCAGGAGTTTCCCAGGGCAGTTTGATGCCGTTCAGACCATGAATAAACCAAACCAAAAGCAGAAAAAAAGCAGAAAAGTCTGAAGATTTCCAATCCAGAGCATCCAGCAAAGCTGTCCCAAGGATAGGTGAGCACTTTTAGCCACCAGAACTAAGATTTTAAAAGATTTCTTTCAGAGGGAGTGGCCCTGAACTTCCCAGAGCCAGGACAGGTGACAGCAGGAAAACAGGGAAATGTGTTGTCCACCTCCCAAGGAGGAGTCAGAGGCAGAAGAACCTGGTGCAAATAAGAAAATTAAAAATAATCAAGGGAATGGCTGCATCCCTGAGTGCTGTAAAGGATGATAATTCCTTATGTAATCCTGAAAGTGATTCATGTTTTGCTTCCCCTCATTTGTTGTGCAAGAGGCTAATTCGTGTCTGTATTCGTTACAAAGGCACGTTCTGTGGCAAATTAGGTGAACTAATTAGCTTATTACAGACTAAATGAAAGGAGATGGAACCTAAATTAACTGTGAGGTTTGGCATGATATGAAGATCCCTTTATTGCACATGAATTCCAGCCCCAACAATCGGAGCAGTAATTACAGGTATTGTTGTCACGCAGCAGATGATGAATTACCCACCTCAACAAAGTCCAATTTAATTGGAATTACTGACAGTCCCAGTGCAGCAACCAAAACCTTCCCACCTCCCTGACCTGCAGCCTCAGGGTGGCCAGGCCTGAGTGCAGAAATCCTGATAAAATAAAAAGGGATTGGGAAGCTGGAAGTTTGGCAAGAAGAGATATTTCGGCTGCTTTGCAAAGCAGAGAAGCTTTGAGTGGATAATTTCACATAGAATTTGTAGGAAAGCAAGGCCCCTACTCACACTTTACTCCAGGGGTGATGCTTCTGGCAAAAGTTGAAGGAAAAAGCAATCCCAGGCAGATCCAAGAGGAATGGTTTTCCCATTGGCTGCAGCACTGTCCAAAGGTGATGTTAATCCCTTCTCTGCCCCCTCTGCTCCCCCACTCCCTGCAGATTTTGGGAAAGAACCAAAAAAGCTGGAATGGGAGGAAGAGGTCTGAGGTTTCCAGCTGTGCCCAAAGTCATTTTGGGACTGTGTTTTCAGGGGCTGTCACACTGGGTGCCTGTGTTTTCAGTGTTCATTGAGCAGAGAAATTTGGGATTCGGGAATTTTTTTCCTCCAATGGCTCAGCCTTTAAATTGGAGAGTGTGTCAGCAACGCTTCTCTGTGCTGAATTTGGCAAGAAAAAGAGTTTGGGGCTTTTCATTCCCACTGCTTGGAGATGATGCTTTGTCACTCAACTCGAATCTGTTTTGGATCACCGAAAATATTTCCCTGGAAATGACGGGGTTTGAGCTCTGTTGCTGTTGCTTTTTTTAATTTGGTCAGCCAAATAAACAGCACTTGCTGCATTTGAAGAGCTCTCAGGCTGAATACCCCAGCTAAAAATATCCAGCCCTTTTCAAGCAGCTCGGAGCGTGCTTCCAAGAGGGATTTGTTGCCTTTGGAAAATCTTTGTTTTGAAGGTTGGGAGGAGTTGTGTCGTGTAGGACAGGGCAGAGAGGCCACCCTGATGCCAGGAGTGGTTCCATGACCCGTGGGGGTGCTGGATGGGATTAAAACCTCCTGGAGATGGAGTTTGGGCTTCCAAACCTCTGCAGTTTTGGGAGAGTTTCATCCAACCTCAGTCATGGATTCCTGTGTTTGGAGTAGGAAGAGGGGTCCTGCGGCAGGCCTTGGCCTGAACTGGAGAGCAGAAAGTTGCTGGTTGTGAGGAACATCAACAATTGATCCAAGGGAATGGCTGGAGCTGTGCCAGGGAGGGTTAGGTTGGATTTTAGGGAAAGGTTCTTGCCCCAGAGGGTGGTGGAACTGGAACAGGTCCCCAGGGAATGGGCTCGGCCCTGAGGCTGCCAGAGCTCCAGGAGGGTTTGGACTCCACTCCAGGGATGCCCAGGGTGGGGTTGTTGGGGTGTCAGGGTTGAACTCTGCTCCTTCCAGCCCAGGATATTCCATAAATCCATAATTCTCACAGAGAAATCTCACTTTTCTTCGGTTGCCCCAAATCCGCTCTGTGACCTTTCTCCTGAGCCAAAGGTGCAGCTCCTTCACCCTCATTTCCCGGCCTCATCCTCCCAGATATGGTTTGTAATCAGTAAATCAGTAAAATCCCCTCAGCCTCCCTTTCCCCTTTCCC